CCCGTCCTCTGAATTGAAATCGAACTTAACATAAGGTGTATATTGGCTTTCTTAATAATAAATAAATAAATATATAAATATTTTATTTTGATCCTGGGCATCTGATACCAATACAATTCTATCTATAATCAAAGTAAACATAATTCCATCCTGTTATATTAAATAAAAAGTATGACCAACAATTTTACAAAGAGAATGTACATGTATCCCCCCAACCCCAACACACACAAACACGCCACACACCCTTCTTCCTTCATTATACCTAAGCTTCAAGCTTTCTGTCAATTCCGTTTTCATCTCTGCTTTGTGTGTCTCCTTCTTGTATTTCACTAAAGAATAAAATATTGTTTAGAGTAATACATATGTTTGTTCGGTTTATTTAGATAAATCTGTATCAGTTTTATTAAATATCAAACGCTTCGGAATTTATACTTTCATACATGTATGCTAATCCAGTTGCACTTGAAGTCGTTCAATCCCGCAGTGTGTATTTAAGATATATGTTACACAATAGATTTTAATAATAATGTCAACTCCTCCGACTAATTCATTCAAAATCGTAAAATTACTCACTTTAACATATTCTATAGACCCCATTTTACAATGCTATGTCTTTAATTATGTTCAAGGTTTTGGTTAGTCACCTCCTTTAATGTCTCACCTTGTTATTTATAGACAAGACGTCATCAACATATCTGAAAGTTAAAATTTCTTTGAAATTCTTTGAAAAACAAATTATCATGTATTCCTTTTCAAATTCAATCAACGCCAGTGACTTACGATCTCACAAATTTTTAGAGTTTCAAGGGATCGCATTCATTTCTGTACATTCTAGTAAACCTGTAGTGGCCCATTACTAATATTGATATACCCAATGATCTGAGCTCTATAAAAATATAAGTCGACTGAAACTAAATGTATAATTGACCTGGATTTTCTTAACATGAAATAGTTATCAAATCTCAATTAAATATTACATGTATCTTTCATCTCTGGAAAAACGACTGAAAAACGATATATTTCGAAAATATTTCAGTTCAAGGCCAATAACTCTAGAAAAATAAGTTCACCATACTCCAAATATAAAGCTGATCTGCATTGTTTCCAACCACAGATATACCCCAAAATATCATCCAGCAGCTCTTAGAAAATCGGCGGAATCTGATCCTTTTAAATTCTCAATTCGAGGGCTATAACTCTGGAAAAATAGTTTTAAGTCACAACCAAGTACAAATATACTTTTTAAAAATGAAAGCAAAAATTATCTTTAAATCTTACAAAGATATCTCTGTTTGCTAAATAAATGTGTTCTAATCAACTCATAATGGCGCCCTTGTATATTAATGTGTATTTCATAAAGCATGATATCTAACAATATTGACCTCCTGACTTTTGACCTTTAATAAATTGGATATGACATCATGAACTCGAAATCTAATTTTATTCCTTATGATGTATGTTTATTCCATATTGTGTAAAGTTTGATCCCCCACCCCCACACACACACAAACCTTACAGGACATGGTCCTTTTTCTACTTCAAGTTCGCTTTCCCAAAATATATCAGGTGAATGGGTTTGTCTCTCTACATACATGGTGTCGTGAACGTTAATCAGATGTAGATGTTTGTTGGGACTTGTTTTCAATTTTTTTCATTTTGTTTATCCATCAAGTATTATCCTCTCTCATATCAACGATTTTACAAAAACAAAATTCTTAATTATTTTTCCTTTTTTTTCCTGGCCTGTTTGAATTAGCTTTAAAGACACAGGTTTGTGTGATATGACACGGAATACATCTCTTATATATACAGATTATTATTAGCGTGAGAAAGTAATTTATACTGAAAGTGTGAACACGAGCGGTTTTGTTTCTCGGCTAGACGGACGTTTCCTAGAACCCAAGGAAACAGCACCGTTCAGCAAATATTATCGTGTCCATTATTGTGACAAAATTTGCTTCAGTCAGACAATATAAGAATGATTGCTTCAATGACTCTCTAGCGGTTTTTTCAGATTGGAAATGTTAGAAAAGTTTTATTAACAAATTTCCTAAAGGAAATATGTTAGCAGGTAATTGTCACCTCTAGGGACATACATAATGAACTGTTGCCATGTAGCACGCGTGCGAGCATGCGCAAAGAACATGTCCATTTAGCTAACGAACAAGGGACTGACGCTGGGGATTTCTCCTCGTGTGGAAACGTAAATCTAGAAATAGAATAGAATAGTAATAATTTTTGTTAGGCTTTATGATTTCATCTATTTTCGCCAATCTGAAATAAACCATTGACTAATTACCTAGCAAGCATGGTATTAGAAATGCCCCCCTCCATTTTAGTTATTATTCAACGATAAGTATCGATTTTTTAACAGCGACACAGCTGCCGAACCAAGTTTATACATATGCTTAAGGAGACAAACATTCGTACACTGTATGTCGACCGCTTCTATGAGAAATTCATAACCTTGACAACGAGAGCATGACGACAAAAGGATGACGTAGAAAACAAAAGGATGACGTAGTTTTTTGTTAATGTCCCGGAAATTTTCATTCTCTCACAGAATGCAGTACGGTACCCGATATAACACTCTTTTGTGACTCGAGGGAATGCCCATGTTTGGTAGAGATTGTTTTTACACACCAGAAGTCAAAGGTGATAATAGTAGTTGTAGGTGGCGCACCACTCTTTCATACACACGTAATCTGCTTCAACTATTACACATTTACAATGTACATTTGAGAATCTTTGAAACTTTCAAATTCATAAAAAAACATTCATGTAAAAACAATCTCACATACTTTATTAAAAATTTTTGCATACAAATTACAGAAAATAAATAACTATGATGTAAGGTACATTTGTAAAGTCACGTGATGTTTATCTCATGCTATAAAGAGGAAGAATGTTCCATTTTTTTCCTATTTTTTAATTCATATTAAGAAGAAAATGATAATCACATTTAAGAACAGATTTATGAAGAACTAAAGAATGAATTTCTAAATTTTCAGCTAAGAAACATATGAACTATCTGTAAACTACGAAGTTCGTTAAGTCGTAATTACAAAATACAAACAAGTCGTAATCACGAGACCTCACACAAACAAATTCAATAAAGAATGAATTTCTAAATTTTCAGCTAAGAAACATATGAACTATCTGTAAACTACGAAGTTCGTTAAGTCGTAATTACAAAATACAAACAAGTCGTAATCACGAGACCTCACACAAACAAATTCAATAAAGAATGAATTTCTAAATTTTCAGCTGAGAAACATATGAACTATCTGTAAACTACGAAGTTCGTTAAGTCGTAATTACAAAATACAAACAAGTCGTAATCACGAGACCTCACACAAACAAATTCATTTCAATAAAACACAACCATAAGTAAACAAAACTTATACAATACAAAATGTACGAATTTCTTATGAAAAATATTCATCAATATTGAATACATTGATGTTAAATCTACCAACAGCTGATACGATTTGATGTAAAATTTATTAACCTTGAAACAGCAAACATATCTCGTCTAATTACCCATCCATTCGTCCTTCATTTTTGACGTCACACAATTGTTCCATCAAAGCATAATATGCATTTAAATTTCGTTTCCAGTCTTAGTGCCATTTCTCTGGTGTCGGTCAAACTCATTGTGTTTTCGATGAACTAAGTATATTCGGCTTACAGATTACATTAATGGTCTAAGTGTATCCCGAATCTCGGTGCTCACGTTAGAAACTTTGTCTTGTGCAATAGCAGTGAGACGGTGATGTAAGCAATAGTTGTGTGCTACCTTATATAAGTAATTTTTACCAAACAAATGAAAAATTTGTCCACAGAATAATTAATCGAAATTTTTGTGAATAGACATTTGATGCTTGAACACTCAGTCCCTTTTGATAATTTCAAGATCAATAGCATATTATTTCAACAATTCAACATAAATACAATTTATATTAGATAAGGCACGGTTGCACTATGAAGTTTCCCCCAGCTTGTAAGACTTTCTAAATTCACCCTCCATTTCAGCTTTTGTGGTTGACTTCGTGCTATTACACAATATTCTCTTTATTTGATATACTGTACTTCCGTTTGCTTTCCTAATAAGGTAAAGAGAGTTCAATAGCGGAATTGAAGCAGTCTGCATTACCGGATATAGAAGCACTTCCGTTTGATTGAGGTCACTTGTCTCGGAAAATTGACGAAAATTAGAAGACAAAATAATGTCATTTTAAAACGGTATGTCAATCAAAGCAGGAAACTTAATCATGGAAACGTTGATATGACGTAAGATTCCATTTTGGTATTTAATGGCAGGTAGTACAGACAGACGGAAATACAATCAACACTGTTTGGAACGGGCGAAGTTTCCTCGTCGTCATATCTGTCACTAGAATTTGTCAGCGTTTTATTTCTCGGGAAACGAAGACACAGCTTTACAGTCTAAAAGCCTGATTTCCCGATAATCAAAAACAATAATGATTGACACAATCTGAATTATTCCGAGGACTGTCACTCCAATTACACGAGCGTAAGCTGTCCAAAGCATTTGTTTGAAATTATTTACAAATCTGCATTTTTTAAAATCCAGCCACTTTGATTACCATGAAAGCATCGAGAAAAATAAACGAATATTCCAGATGAACGAAACTGAGATTCATATACAGAAAAATCCTGATGTGCGATTGTCAATATAGTATTTGAAACGGAAACCAACCCATTGTCATTACAGCCTCAGTCAACTTGGTTTCGAGATTAGAAATGTTCCCAATATAAAAGTTATTTAAATCAACTCCTGTATCCTGGATAAACAAGTATTGAACACATTTTATCCTGTATCATTCCTGTAAACGTCACTTTCGTTCAATCTTGACGCGTTTGATATGCCATTTCCAGTATAATACTATTTCGATTGCACTTTGGATTAAATTCAATGTATGAGAATCCTTAACGTTACTTGAAATGTTTATTATGCAAATGAGGTATGTTTGCTTTTATGACGTATTTGTTGAACGTGATGAGGTGCACGAGAACAGATCGAGAATGGAATCTTTGATTCGGCTCAAACGATTTTTCGTTTTCTTATTCGTGTGTCCTCTATCCTTACTGTTCATTTCCACAAACGACTGCTGCCCGAAACTTTCATCTTCGATTTCGACAATTTCGTCTAGGTCACCAGCTAACGGCGATTTCTCGTTTTCGTTGTTGTTGACAATAACTTCTTTCGTTGGAACATCCGAAACTGGCACTGAAAAGTCAAAATCGAAAAATTTTAAGAAGTTCTTATCAAAACCGGAAATTGGAATTTTTCTCTCATTTAAGATGTTGTAAATTAAGATATGATAAAAGTAACGACCCATATGATTCTCTAATCGTCAAACTTGGTACAAAACATTAATTAGCCTCCGTCTGAATCAGATGTACTTGCAATATTTCATCTTACAATCAGAAATCTTCTTTGTAAGCATGTATGAATTTTCTCTGTAAATATAGCAAAGCAGACTACCTTCCTACCTCAGAAATCGGAAATTGAAATATAGTAAAAATGTGAAAAAATGTTTCAAAATGAGGAAACTTTTATTCGAGGCTGAAAGCACGATTATGGAAAATGCAATGCCAGAAATATCTTATGTGTTGACTGTGAAATAGAAACACACTGAATTCCAATAAATTAAAACATCTACCAAGAGTTGTCGTTCTTTATTGTCAGTGATTGAAACTTACCTTCAACAACTGAGTTAGAAAGCTTTTCTTCTTCTTTGTTATCGGAATTAGTAGCCTGAAAAATCAATTAAGAAATGTAAGAAATAAAAACATATAAAGCACCTCAACCTTAGATTTAAATAATTTACCTGACCGTCCATATTTTGAAAACAAATGTATGCATTATCACAATTTCCTATCAGTTCAATTTTTTATATGTTTTGTTCATGATCACATTGTCCTAATATTTTGCTCTAGGTAAAATGTGATTAAAGAGTACTTACGTTTCGAGACACTTTTGAAGGACTATCGTCTGTATAGTAACTTCCGGCAAGAGTTACGTCATCCTGCATGCTGCTCTCCGCCGTTGCTAAGGGCGCCGCCTCCTCGTTGGTGGTGACTTTTTCGTGTGCCTCTCGGATAATATCTTGTATGTACGCGCTGATGTTTTGCTTGCTACCGTCTGTGTGCATTAAAGATAAGTCCGGAATTTCTGCAAGGTCAAAGAGTCAAAGGTTACAAAAAGGACGTTATCAATCAGTTTAGTTTGACTAACATATCTGAAATGGGATTGAATGTGACTTATCGCTTCACCTTTTTCTCTCGATAACATTTGATTTTCGATGAATGGGACAGGTCGGGAGTCCAAAAAAGTTCCTAAAATCGTACCTCTATTGTTATCCATCGTTATTTAAAGGTTGACGAAATCTAAGTACCTGCTCCAACAGATATATTCATATCTTCTCTTGGTTCTGATGAGACTGGCTGTTCAGTAGGGACTGACTGGTCCTTTGTCGTGTCTTCATCACAATCTGGCATCGGTTCGCCATTCAACTGACATACAGGAATAGGCATAGGTGCTACACTCGTCTGCGAATAAATGAATGAATGAATGAATTAATTAATTGCTTACAAACATCACCGAAGCCAACAGAGAAAAAAATTAAAAGAAATGTTTGATTTGGATTATTTTACTTTAGCTCAAAATGATAAAATTCCAAAATGAAGTTTAAAAAATCAACAGTTCTTTGATTGTATGTAAATAAATTACAAAATATACTACCATTGTGTTAGATTTAGGATATACGTTCTGTTCCGTATTTTTATCGTCTTCGTCGGTATACTCGTCGCCTAGACCCTCCAAAGCTTCGTCAAGGAAATTCAGTAAATCTTCTTCTTGTTTGATTATTTCAAACGAACTTTGAATTATTTTGGCAACAAAATTGGCAACGTGGTGTTTTTGTTCTTCGTTTAGAGCTGTTGGCATGCCTGCATCGTTGGAGAAATCTGACAAAAACAAGAAAGATACTTTCATTTATATCATTCTGCTTACTGCTTGATTGAACTCGATAATTATGTGATCAATTAATCGAAATATAGATTTACTCGATTATATATCTATAATTGGCTGTCATAATCATGACGTCACAATCTCACACCTCTTCCCATTGTCAAGGTGTAACTAGAACAACACCCGGACCGCCATTTTGGATTTTCACTGATCGATCGGGCACTTATCACCCCTGGTATGACATTTGTACTCACAATAATGATAGCCAATTATGGAATTATATTTTTGCTCTGAGCAAGAATAAATTGATTTCAATCTAGATTTCAATTAGACAAATCAACAATTAGCACGTGCAGAAAAAGATAAACATAGACTTTAATCGCTTAATTAACATATATTAATCAATGGGTTTTCATGTCATTGGTTTTTCAATCAAAGTGAATTGATTGACACAAAGTGACGGATCATCGTCTTTTCATTATGTATGAAGTTATCAATGCCGGGGTTAGACTAACCAATAGAAATATTTTCATGACTTTCAAACTTTAGATATACATGTATGACCATTGTCGATAAGTTGGTTACAAAACTTCTAACGATACATTGCAAGAGGAAATCGGGACTCCAATAATTTTTTTTAATCAGAAAAATACAACCCTCGATTTTCACAGAATATCTGTGTTTCTGGGAAAGATCTCGTCAGTATCTGGAAAACCTTAACGATTTTAAAACCATAAATATGATTGAACACTCAACACGTGCTGTAAAGAAGAATCGATATGATGGAACGGTACAGCTGTATTTCAGGTATTGGTGTCAGTATATTTTCATCACGATGTCTACTACAGAATTATAATTGACGGGTGCCTGTGGACTGGATCTATTATCTGAATTCACCACTACGTCCCTGGTCGGGATTAATTTGAATTTTCTATCGATAAATATTGTTATAAGTTAGCTTGTGTAATGTTAACACTTTCCCTCGGACCTGACCTTCAGGTACCAGATTAGCCATTACTTAATATCTAATATAACCTAATACCATTTCTAGATTAACGTTATCTGTAATTCTAACAGAGTGTGTTTAGTTGGATAAAAAGGATTACAAGGACGTTTATTGTAAACCTGAAAAAAATCAGTGTAAAGAAATTAATCCCGGGGAAGTTGCTTTATAAACCATAGGAGCCTGAGAGAATAGCTTATGTTCAATAGATGATGTATGCTTTCATTGATTATTACTCTGAGTTTTTTTTAAATATGTTTAATTTACTTTGATTTCAATAGAAAATCAAAAATGTGATATCACTTTCGAAAAATTGTTACAACTGAAAATATAGTTAAACCGACCAAGTTTACCGTAAACATGCCATCAGCAGTCTATGGGATCAGAGGTAACAAACTTTAATGTTTAAGTGGTTATTTGGAGCCGTAATGAATGTCAGATCATCACCAAAATAGACAGCTAAAGTTCATTTTGAGAGTGTTCTTAATCTTTTACCGAATTCCTCTCATAGCCGTTGAAAAATAGCAGTAACAATTTTGATATTTAAAATCCAAAATGGCCGTTGTCGGCCATCTTGACGAAATGAATGTGGTACATGCGTGACTTAATCTCATATTGAGTTCCTAGAGAGTCCTACCATTCCATCCTGAAACCTTGAGAAATAGCTGTCAAAATCAGCTTGAAAGGCTTGAAAAAAGAATTGCAGAATATAAAATTGACTTTGACGGCCATCTTAAATAATTGGTCAACATTTCTATATTTATCACGCAAAAGTGAGGCTATACACGTACGATTTTGATATAGATTCATGCAGTTTATAAGTCGAATTCCTCACAGGGCCATGATAAATTGCGTTAAAATCATTAAGTATTCACTTGCGGCAAATTCAAATATCTAATGCGTGATGAAGATCATAATTTGATATGCACACCGAGTGTTTGTACCGAAGACACCTTCTAAAAAATTCTTGTAAAAATAGAAGTAACTTAGGTCAGATGTTAAAATTTCATAAAAATAAAATAAAACAAAATAACTATTACTGGCCATCGAATATTCAATGAAGCTCAAAATACGACATTCACAAGAATGACCATTATCTGACTTTCATTCAAAGCTTTAGTTTTTACGTGGTTCTAGAGAAATAGGGCGTAACAAAAAACAAAAATTTACAGAAAATAAAACAAAACAAAAGAAAAATGCATGAGATGACAACGGATTCGAAGAAATAGAATTTGGAAAGTTTACAATCTGTTGAATTTATCAGTGGTCCAGAACCTTAAATCTTGAAAAATAAACCATCTGTTCCGGAAGAGTAAGATCTACGAAATTTAACCGTCATGTAAAGCTTGTGGTAACGCTCAACCCACCTAAGATTTCGTGTGCATACATCGTACGCACATCGTCAGCACTCGTGAGCCATTACTGTGATAGGATCGCACATTTTGTGCGGTTTGGTAAAAATGGTTGGCTGATATTACGGATTGAAAATTAAACGGAAACCTCGTGTATTTATGACTAAGTAGCGATATCACATTCATATCAATATTGATCGGTGATTATAAGTCAATCTCAATTCGACAGATTTCGAAATAACCCTGGACTAGCATCAGTTAGTCTTTCTACGTATATATAGTTTCAAACTTCAGTGAAGGCCGAGTGGGGTGCCTCGGGCAATAAACATTACCTGTTTACGGCACGTGACAGGTCTGGATTCGTACCGGTTAGGTATACAAACATAACACTAAAGACTACTTGTGTTTACAATTTTTGTTTACAAAACGATAGAAAAATGAGAGTAATGCAGAGGACATGAAAGTAAAATTGACTTTCTGACAATGTGAGATTTTTGATGATTCATAGCCGAGACAAAAAGAGACGTTTATATGTTTATATATATAATGTATATATTGTGAGTGTCTGTACACTGAGGCTGGTTATGGGTGGCACTTTGTAAACAAGACACTTTAGATTACCAGTGTATATGACTATTGAGTCTGTATCTGGTAGATCTACATGTGTCCAACCTATAAATGTATGACTTAATTATTTAGTCTGACATACATTTGTACTTCGTTGTATTCTTATATTTTGAAAATGCATAAACATTTTTCCACACTTATCTACCAGTCATTCCTAAATTTATATCAACCACGATAGAACCGCAAAACGTGAGCACAGATGTACGATAACTTATTTCGTCCATTTTTTCTATTGTGCCTTTCATTGTGCATACATCGTGCGTATATTGCACATCGTGTAACGTTGTGCGATCCCACAACGTTAACTGTGACGAGCGTCAAAAATCGTGTTTTTCTTTTTAAACAAGTCTTCTTTATCGAATCAACTGCGAAATGCATCAGGTGTATGATTTTAAATCAGAAATTATTGGGATAGCATTCGACGGGCCTCCCGCATGAGATTCAGTAATATTGAATATTGCGACTCAAAATGGTCCTGCCTATTCACGGGACAATGCCCTCAGTAAAAACACCGAGCAAGTGCACAAATTTTCACCTGTTGTTAAGAATTGTGTAATTCGGATTCACCGTAAAAAAACACACAGTGAACACGTATCAAGTTATACACCCCGTTTGCAACAGCAATCGTATTTTTCCTCCGTTTCAATAAGACACGTGTTTACCTATGTATGTATATCAAATCACATGTACACCTCGTGGATTTAATAGCTGTGTGTAGGTGTATGATCTTTACCTGAAGAATTACTCTAACCAGACAGTTTACGTAAGCAATGTTTTGTAGGCTAATAAACCAAATAATTATGCAAATTTTTCACCTGTGGTGAGTTAACAGTGGAGGGCTATTGAGTACATTAATTGATTGTACTTCTGAGTCATTAGTGTGTATAAGACTGTCTAGATACGTAAATAAGTATTGTCATTGTTGATAAATCTATACCTGGAGATATCGTTTACATTACACTATACATTAACCAGTAATGAGTGTTACAGGATTGCCATCTAGCCATGCTATATGTCCAAATGTTTAAATAGATTCATTGTTTCGGGTTTTGAGCGGATTAGGGAGCCTCTCTCCACCTATACTCCTTAAGACGATTTGTGTGTCATTGATCTAATAAAATCTACAGGCCCCAAAAGTTGAATCTCAGTTTATTTTCTCTATCTATTAACTTCATACAAAAAATCAAATAAATAAAAAATTATAAAAAAAAAAACAGTAATTTACTTCAAGGACGCGAAAACATCAGCAATATATCGACTTTCGATAATAAGCATTGCAAAAGAAAGGCCTTCAAGGCAATTTCCATGTTTTTGCTCCTCGTCAACGAAATTTGATACACTTCCGGTACGGAAACGCAGTGAAGAAAAACAAGTTCAATTATTGATAACAAGTCCGGCTCCAAAACAGTTAAGCATTATTCCTAAAACAGAGCTTTTCTGGTATACGTATACAATTTACTTACCAAATAAGTTAACAACCCAGTTTTAAGATATATATATTATGAATTAAAGCGCTGACTTGTACACTCTGGTAACCTGGTCCCCGATCAATGAAACAGTTCACTGGTGAAGGGGGAATTGATGATATGGCATAATTAACCAATATTCTCAAACAAAATTAGACTGTATTTCAGTGTGACAAACTTACCTGAAGACGTCGTTTGGTCGTGTGATGCCATCCAGGTAAAATACAACACAGATAATCCACGTGAACTTCAAACGACACTATCACATGGCTACTTCCGTGTCCACAATGCTGTTTCCGGCGGCTAAGTTAGATATATTCCACGATAACACCAATTATCTGTGAAATGTGTCAAGCTGTCTTTTACGATAATGTGTGTCATTTAGACGGCTACATGTTCTTATCCAGCTCTTCAAAGAGCATTCGGTGCTACAGCACTCATAGGTAATGATAGTACATACATACGCCAAAGTATGTAAATTAACAGACGATCGAGGCCTGTGTGTAGGTCTATTTCGGAAAAATGTCCTCAGGCAATACTTTAGCAAAGGTGTAAAAATGTGCTATCAACATTCAATACACAGGATAATTATATCTCCAGGCCTAGAAGTAATTGTTATTTCCGTATGTACGCAGTAATTTCGCAGGTTTGTCCACTTTCTCCTGGTTTGTTCTTCCAACAAGTACACAACATATTTCATTATTTCGGACCAGTATGGACTTAGTCGCTCAAGGGTAACTAATCCTACTTACGATCTACTGAAGTAAATGCCCTGAACTTTAATAAAAGTGTGTGTTCCATATTTAACCATGATGGATACAGCCTAACTGACAGTTTAAAAAAAGGTCGCTAAAGGTGTTACACAGGGTTAAGTTGCGATAACATCTACACCGCGTACTTATTAGACCACCAGTTATAACAGATGGAACGTTGGGAAAATGACGTTTTAAATTAAACAAGGTGTGTGTGTTTTTGAAACATTGTGCCCCCGGTTGGAATAAAATTCTGAAGTGGAACAATAAAACTGCAATGTGTACGGCATTTGCAAATTGCACGTACAATTTTTCAAATGTAAGGTCAAAGGTCATGGTCAAGATCACATTGTCAAAAATTTTGGCACCGCCGGTAAGGTCTTGTCACTTGGCATGTCAAACACGAAATCCCTTCCTCTTACGGTGCAATAGTTATGGGCAAAGTTGACAACAAGCAAACAAACAGCATAAAAACAATATGCCCTTGATATATCGATCAGGGGGCATGGAAATATATAGACGATTGAATCACAAGTTAGAAGTTCAAATAAATCGATTAAAGATCTTTACTACAGCACAAACAGGAAATGTACGACTAGGTGTATTTAATATGCTTTAAATCGACCTCGGTCTCAAATAATCCCCTTGCTCTACCAAATGAATACTGTTTAAATGTGTGAACATTTGTGTAAAGAGAACGTATTAACTCGAAACGTATTGATAATGGCCAGTCTTTGTCGAATAAACTATGGTAATATATGTCAGGCCCATGTTCAGACTGTTTAAATACCAATAGTCCACCCGTAAACACCGACAAAAAAAGATTTAAGAAACTAAACACGAAAATACCGAGGAGACCGGTTAGGGCTGGGAGCCAATGTGTTGATACCTCGTCAAGAGATAATGTGTTGTTACCAGCTGACAAACTGCCGGAAAAACGGAAGTCTATTAATAACAGTTCTTGTAATCCCGATGTTATGATTCAAAACAACGCTATCCCTGACTATCTTTACAGGCAACAGAATGACAATTGTGTGGTTTTATAGAAAAGAATACATGCGTGCTGACGAAAGCCCCAGGCCGTCCGTATACATCTTAGTGTGTAACAATAGTCATGGTAATTTGATGTGACTAGGTGTCTCTAGAAATAATAATCAACGCTCATTCAGTATTGAGCACGTTTTATAAATTCTACATGTATACTATACTGATATTCGTGTAAGATATATTGTAATTTCTATAAGAGATACTTGAAAATGAAATAGCATATACATGCACACTGGAATGGGATGGGGGAAAAGAAAATCTCCTCTGATTGGAGGAATAAATTTTAAAAAGGAATGCTCTAAATAGAGTGTTGTCCGTTTCTTCAAAAACAACAAGAAAATGCCAACGGGAACTTTACCTTAATCCAAACTCAAATTCAATTTAAACACTAATAGGACAACCTAAGAGTATGAACGTAAGAAAGGTTGACGTAGATGTTCTTACGATGAGAATAGACCATGTGTTCTAGAAGAGTAAGCGCCGTCTGCTTCAACAGCCGCCATGTAAATCATATAAGTTATGTAATGCCTCTCAAATACAATAGTACAGAGGGCGGGTCACATCACATCTCTGCCTCACTCCAGACAGATCCCATGGGTCCACTTTAAACTCAGAATTATGATCATCCAAAGGAAATTTTTTTTTTTCAAATTTAACGACTCTATATTTTTTCAGTAACCTCATATACCCACATAAAGCCTTTCAGTGCAGACATCACTATCGGATCATACACTTAAATCGGCGCCGTACCTGTTCACAATGTAACTTGCTCTAGAATCAAGTGTAGCATGGTCGTTAGTGTGAAATATATGCTTACGTGTGTGTATATATATATGAAATGTGTTTTTCTCTCATCGAAAACCTATTGATCACGTGTGTGTATGAACTCAATAGAACGTGTCCTCTAGTGAATAATGTGAACTTAATATCTTCATACATCTTGGGAAAGACATGTATGTCTCCGTCCCTGACAAGGAATGGGCGACGTGTCGGTAGGAATTAGTCCAACCGCTCTCATCTCGTATCCCGAGCCAAACGTTAAGTAGTGTCAAAAATATTCTGAAGCGTAACAGTCTAGTGTGATAGGGGATAATGTCTAGAGAGTATCGTGGTAGACTGGGTGTTAGGGTGGATAAGTTCACCCAATCAAAATTTATTAAATCCATTTAAATCGAAACAAGTTCTCAGCTCCCTGTGGTATAACTATTGTGCCTGTGTTTCATTATGTTTAGAAGTTCGTCTTGTTAGTGTGATTGTGTTAGTACAATTAAATAACTCGATTTCAAATAAAACACTTTACAAATACAGAAATCTAATATCAATATTTATGTACAGGGGTCATTCTAGCCCGATAAAACACATAAAAACAAATTATGCGTTAACAGTATTAATGATACCAAGCCATTAGTGCAAACGTCTGCACTACTACGTCCAACACCGTCTATCGAAAGCAAATACTACACAACAAATCATATAATTGTGTACGGATCGGATCGATTGCTGTAGTTACTTAGGATATTAAAATGTACGGTTGAAATCCTCAATCTGACACCAGTGACCGCGCCACAAACCTACAACATACAAAACGGTGTCATTTTCCTTTCGTCCATGTTGATAAGCTTCGGTATAGAGAGGAGAAAAAGTCCCTTGTATCATCGTAAGTTCACCATGCTTTTAATTTTGGCAAGTTTTATGGATTCTGACAAAATTTTGTTAATCCTCATTTCCCGCGCGAAGCAGGGAAGAAGTATAGCTCGCCTGCTTGCTCTGTGCTCGGAACAACAGTTCTTTCTAACAGTAGTGTGTTTAAAGATGAAACATGATTTAGGCCATAAGAATGTATACATTATTTTCAATCAGCCACCGTAAAAAAAGGAAGGTTTCAAAGTCAACAAATGATATAGGTACATCCGTTTCTTTACTGTTCCGCTAAGTCTTATCTTCTAATAGTCATAAATACAATTTCCTTTATGTGATTTATCTTACTTGAAAATGGAAAAGAGGGAAGAAACACTGAATGGTATACAAAGAGGTAAAATTTCTGGCTCCGTTCGTCTATCAACCACCCCGATCATCATCATCATCATCAGCAGCAGCAGCAGCAGCACCCATTCCTCCATCCCTCCACGTACCTGAATTTCTTATCTTAAACACATATGTCGCTGAACTTATCTGTATTTATGAACAAACTGAAGAAATCAATTCAAATGGATATATATATATATATATATATATGTATATCTAAAATATTATTCTGAATATGGTCAAATAATCTCCAGATTCGTCAACTCGCCCAAAGGAAAGTCGCCCCATAAAAGAGAAAAATTCTACTTCCGGACTAGAGGTAGTAAACGGCGTCAATCTTAAACAGGATGGAAAGCAGAAATAGTAACTAAATAAAAAGTGCGATAAATATAGCGAGTTGGTTTATTCATTTTTTTAATCTTCTTTTTTTCTTGAAAGGTGGCGAATGGGTGGGTGATATTATACAAGTTGCCTCAGTGGTAGTTTGAGATGTACCGGCCGCCAGGTATGTATAACCGGACGTGTATGTAATAGCAAGAGCATCTCTCGTTCATGCCAAGTGGATAGCAGGTTTGGAGTTGGTTGATCCAGTGTCGTTCCTTACTGTGGCGTTGCTGGTCACCCCAACTCCTGCAGTGGTCAATGGGTACCACCTGCATGTCTTGCCACGAAAGACTTGGTATGTTGAAATGTCTTGCTACAGGCAGATCCGGGCGTTTAATAGAACATCGGTGATTGTTGATCCTGAGATTGAGTGGTGTTTTGGTCTCCCCCACATACTGCAAATGTCACATAGCACACGTACTCAAGTATATCACATTGACCGAACGATATGCAGGATACCGGCTGGAAGATGTTGTAGGTCTGATCTTTGACCTCACATTTGAATGAATTGGTGTTGCGAGTATACGGACAAAGTTTGTACCTTTTACTGTTACACGTTTTGAAACCATCAGTTGTACGAGTGTAGGAAGTTGATGGTAGCTTTCCGCTCATTATATATATATATATCTGCCCATGAACTGTTAAAATTGGTATAAGTAGATTATTGAGCAATGATTATCCACGAAATCAAACTTCCTCGAAAATCCAACCCCACGAAAATATATATGGGGGAGATTTTACTGTACCTAGGTGTCTTCGAACCATAGTTGAGCACGTGCCAATCACGCGGGACATCAATTGTCGTATGAGTTATTACATAGGTAGTACTGAGCATTTGTGGAAAAGTCACCTTTTCACCCATAAGTAAAATTCACATCAGTGACAATATTAAGCTCGTGTAAACTTAGCATGTACGTAATTTTCAATAGGAGTTAGGTCCCTTGTACCACTGGGTGTGCATCGCATTGAAGGACGTGCAGAAATATCACTGAACACTTGAACAAT